TTTTTTTTTTTTTTTTTTTTTTCTGGGAAACTTCCACTAAAATAATGACCTGATTACCACACAGTTCTAATCCTTTATTCACCTTATAACCCATGTTCCTCTGATTACTGTCCTTTTAGTCAATTCAGATGGAAGCCATGTGGATTCAGGCAGTGGATAAACATTCATTCGTTGGTTCATAAAGTTGGGTTACTTTTTAGTATTTTAACAATATTCTAATGGCACGGGTGTAAATTCTCATAGTATAGATCCAGATACACTCCACCATCACCACTATAGTTAAATCTAATAGGAGCCCTGATAACAGCTGTGTGTTGTTCCTCTGATGCAGAGGGCGCCTCATCCAGCTACATGGGCCTGACGCCGGAGGAGAGGGAACGTTACAGAGTCCATACACTAAAAATGAAGAAGCAACGCATCGCCAGCCTGGCTTCAGCCATCATCTCAGACCCGCTGAACAACGTAAGTGGAGCAGCTGATGAGGAAGAGTCTGTTTTTAACAGATCGAGATTCAGAGTCGATTAACAAACATTAACATTTGTTATTTTATTGATAAATTTACTGATTTTGAGGAAAAATCCTCTAAATATATATCTGAAAACATAAGGTTGAATATTCTGCTTCATTTTACCGAAACTTAAACCAGGATTAAAAGTTGTAGAGTGAAATAACAAACCATATAAAAGCAACCCTAGCAGAAGATACATGAAAGTGGATCTTGCAGACATGAAAGCTGCTAAACCAGCAGACTTGGAACAGACCAAAAGAGTTAGACTCCTCTCCTACCTGAAGGCCAAGTGCAACACAAAGACCAACGGCGCAGCAGAGCTCCAGAAATGGAGCCAAACCATCAGGGCTGCTTTTAAGGAAAGGCACCACAAGGCCTAATGGAGTCTGCTATGGTTTATTCTACCAGCTAACTTAGAATCCCATGTTTAGGTTCAAAGTAGGGCTGAACAATGTTGCCAGAAATGGAAATTGCAATTATTTTTCACCAAAATTGCGATTTTTATTTGGATTTTCCTTTGCAATAACGCCAAGCTTGTAGATGTTTCATCCAAGGCTTTCAGTTTTTGAGAGCTCGCTTGCCCAGAGTCCATTCTTACAGGACTTTATTGTAACCATTGGGTGAAAAATTCTTCTTCTACTTGNTCCAAGGCTTTCAGTTTTTGAGAGCTCGCTTGCCCAGAGTCCATTCTTACAGGACTTTATTGTAACCATTGGGTGAAAAATTCTTCTTCTACTTGTATGGATCTGCGAGCTAGTTGCAACCCTATGTTTCTTTAAACACGACCTTAAGGGCTGGAGAAAAAAATTTAGTCTCTTACTCTTGTTTAATATAGTGTGATTAAAAATCCATGCCTCTAAGATATGAAAATAGTAGGGCTGTAACGATTCCCCTATGGAAATCGAAATTGCGACACTCTGAGCCACGATCGTGTCTCGCGGTGGAGGAAGGTGGGATCGCAACACTCACCAAATATTCCCAACTTTTCAAGGAAACAAAATCCAGAGTGGAGGGAGAACTGAGCAGCGCTGACTCAATTGCTATTACCACCGATGGATGGACGTCCCGTGCAACAGACAGTTATATTACCATAACCGCACATTATATTACGGACCAGTGGCAAATTGCAAACCATGTCCTTCAAACGCGTTCCGTGTTTCTTGTATCTGAAATCCTGAAAGGCTTTTCAGCAGACCATACGCCCCCGTTCCCGTGACAACGCAAGAAACATTGTAAAAGCGGTCATAGCAGCCGCACTCTCCCCGCATATTCGATGCTTCGCACACACCGTTAATCTGGCAGCACAGAAAGGAATGGGAGTTAACCAGATGTCATGACTCCTTGGTAGAATCAGGAAAATAGTCACTTTTTTCCACTGGAGCGCAGCTGTACCGAAGGATAGGCAGAAGATGCTGCAGCTGCCCTCACACAAGCTTGTCCAGGATGATCCACTGCTGGGGATCATCCTGGAACAGCACAGACAGCAAGCCTCTCACCTGAAAATGTGGACATGAAAAAGAATATCAAAGTTTAGTTTCTGTGGATCCCAGCCACATCTGTTCCCAGTAAGATGGTGTTTTCCTCTGTAGTGGAAAAGTGGACATGATGCTGTTGTTCCTAAAAAAATATTTATATAGTTTTAAATAAAGCAAACAGGTTTTATGAAGCTGCGTTTATTTGCTTTTTAAGTTCATTTTTTGTTAGACAATATAAGACAAGAGATAAATCTTACATTTTTGGTTATGTCTCTTTAATTGTGGTTTTTCTGTGTTCAAATACGTTCTGGATATTTACAATATGTTAAATGTTTTTTAATATTTTATTTAAATAAAATAATATTCAAATGTAAAAAAAAATTGTTGCATGTATCGAATCGTGGGTCAAAAATCGTGATATGAATCGAATCGTGTGTTTTTTGTATTGTTATTTTATTAATTGCGATTATATTGCAAATGCTATTAATTTCGCACCCCTATTCCAAGCAGAGAGTTTCTCATCACCGAAGAAACTTAAGTACGTGCAGAAAACTTCCATCAGCAGAAATCTGAGTGTAGTGCACCTATTTTTCTGGAGAAGCTGAGGAACAGGAACGTGATGATGATGATGTTGATGATGATGGTGGTATTTTCTGCAGACCAAGCGTATGAAGGAGCTGCGGGGGATGATGATGGAGTCTGACCCAAGCGTTGCCGTTTCGGTGAGGAAGATGGTGATGGTTTCTCTCATGGAGGTGTTTAAGGACATCGCCCCCACCTACAAGATCCGACCTCTGACCGCTGCAGAGAAAAGCACCAAGGTCAGATGAGCACAGGTTGGGATTGTGATGTCTGATTGGTTGCAGCATGTTTTACACAGCCGGTGGATTGTGGTCTCCCTGTAGGTGAAGAAAGAGACGCAGCAGCTTAGAGAGTTTGAGGAAAGCCTTGTGAGCCAATACAAGTTTTACCTGGAGGACCTGGAACAGACCATCAAAGGTACGTTACCGCCGCCACACAGCTGCTCTGCACACACAGATACACGCAGACACTCACACCCTGTGTGGATTCCCAGACTGGAAGCAGAAGAAGAGGAAACGAGTCCAGGCGGTGAGCTTCCAGTCGTACCGCGGCCTGGCGGAGGTGTCCATCCGCTGCCTGTGTGAGCTGCTGCTCACCATGCCGCACTTCAACTTCCACAACAACATCATCGTCGTCCTCGTTCCTCTGATGAACGACCCCCTGAAGAAGGTCAGGATGGGCTCAAAGCTCGTGTTCGTAATTCAGATAGATCTTAGGAAACATGGAGGGGTCTGAAATCTTCATCGTAGGTTTCCACTGTCAGAGTCAGAATCTAAAAAATAAAATCCAGAAATCACTCTATATTGATTTCTTTTTCCTTAGATGGGAATAGTTTTTTCTAAATGGGAGAATTTCCAAAATGGCAGGATGTTCAAATACTTCCTGACTGTAGATCAGATGGAGGCAGATTGTGTGAAAGTATTCATGGGTGTGTAATTGTTTCAGGTGTCGGACATGTGCTGTGACGCATTTAAGAAGCTCTTCCAGGATGACAGAATGGGCGGGGCATCCCTGGCTACCGTCAGGGTCATCTCTGGCCTCGTAAAGAGCCTCAACTACAACATCAAACCAGAGGTAACAGATCAAATCCGCCTGAACGCATGGATTATATGTTTATATATATTTATAAATGTGTGTTTGGCTTCTTTAGGTTGTTTTAAAGTGTTCTAGAAATAAAAAGCCTCTGGATCTATATTAATGAGAATCAGCTTCATTGGTCAAGCTTTGTGAACAAGCAAGGAATATGACTTCAGTCTTTATAGCCTACATCATAAAAGCTTCATTTAAATATGTTAGAATTCACAGAAAAACATTTTAGGAGCAGTTTAAACTTGTGTCTCAGCAGAGAAGCTGAATTCTCTCAGTGAGGAAGAGAATCATTTAATATTTATACTCCTAACAGATGCTGTATTTTGTTCAAACCCTTATTAATACCATTTTTTAAAATCAAAAAACATGAAGAAATAACTAAATAAACATGTGAAACAAAAATTCCCAAAACAGACTAAAGCAACCCTTTGTCTTAAGTGTTGAGTACATTTTGTTTCATTATTGTTGCAAAGAACAGGTTTTGTAAATGGGAATTAAATAAAAAAAAAAAGCCATCCAGAGGTGAGTTTGAAAATCCTCTCAATCAAAAAGGTTTTGCTAGTAACTTTTCTCTGATTTTTTAATTTTTTTTTTTTTTACAAATTTATTTTCCAATTTTGTCTTCAAATATTTAAAATATATTTAAAAGATTTTATACTCAACATTTTTTTTTATTCAGATTTCTCTTTTTTAGGTTCATTTTATGAATTCAATTCTTTTTAAATTGCATTTATCATTGTCTTTACTTCCAGCCTGATTGACCAATAAAATATTGCCTTTGCACACGCAGACCAATAGAAATGCTTCTCTCTTCCTCACCTCAGGAGAAAGCCCGCCTACAGAAGTGATGAGAATTTTATCCAGTTTGAAAAAAGAGAAATCTGAACAAATATTGGAAAACAGTAAAAATTAAAATAATTTAGAAAAAATAAATGTAAAGGAAATATAAGGCAATAGCTAAGTTACTTCAAAGTGTTTATTTTTGTTTCTTTTGATTAAGTAGTTATTCAAAGTTTATTTTTGGATTACATAAAAATTTCTGTTGGCAAAACATGTTCTTTTGCTGCAACGATAATGTCTCCTCCATATCCCATAAGTCCCCTCGGTTTGTGTGCTTTTGGGGGAGGAGATCAGTAGTATGATGTTGCCTGAGTAGGAGTCTCTCTAAAAAGTTGAATATTGCAAGAGGGACTGATAATGTTGGACCGTGAGGACAATCTGACGTGGCCCTGGGGCCGTTTTGGTTCTGAGTTCAGTTCATTATGATCCTCAGACACATTCTGGGTAAATTCAATTCAGTTTATTTCTATAGCGCCAATTCACATCATGTCCCCTCAAGGCACTTTAAAGGTTACCAGGTAATCCAGTCAGATTGGTTCAAAGTTTTCTATCCAAGGAAAACCAGCTGATTGCATCGACTCATTGACTCTTCAGCAATCCCTCACACTAAGCATGCTTGTTAAGGAACCATCATTTCTGGATGCTTCTGCAGCTTTAGCCTGATGGTAGAAGTCCAATCAGTCTGTAAAAGGATGTGTTGGTTTGGTGGAGATGCTAGCGCCCATCCTCCTGACTCTGAACCTTCAGAAAATTGTTGACATTTTTATAGACTTGGGTTTATTTACGTTTTTTTCTTCTCTGCCTTGGTTCTCTCCCTCCTCCTCATCAGGTGCTTCGAACTCTGCTGAGCCTGAGGATCAAAGAGGTGGAGATGAAAAGGGATCTGGAGGCCACGGCTCCCAAGAAGAAGTTCATGACCAACAAAGAGAGAAAAAAGAACCTGTCCAGGATGCAAAGGAAGGTAAACAAAGCTGGAGGTTCAGTAACAATTTAAAGGTTCTTTTTTAGCCGTTTTTGGTTATTTAATGCAAACATGCAAAGATGCATATGGTGTGAAGTGTGTCTAAAAGATTCAACACATGCTAGGTGCTATCTTAGATATAAATCTGTTCCCCATCAAGTGTGCATGTTAGTCTCTCAGATCTGTTAAGGTCTACATGTGTGGAAGAAAAACAGTCTCATTGGAATCTGCCTTTTTTTAACACCGAATTTTAAACACTGAAGTTTTTTTTAGAAATTGAATTCCTTACACTAAATTTTTATCTGACAAAAATTCAGCTGCAAAAGTGTTGACCTTTTGGTGAACTCAAGCCAAAGCAATCTACACTCGATAGAGCTGAGCAGCTTCTAGCCAATGAAATTAGCTGATTTTGTCACGTGACACAACGGCTGCGCTCAGTGCTGTTCCCGGCTGAATGA